GTGAGAGAAACCGCTGAATCTCTGTTGACTGAGAGTTAGAGATTGAAGACAGCAGGTTTGGAGCTCCTCACTGTAACACTACCGCCTGCCAGTGGAAATGATCGAGTAATTTAAGGTCAGTCTTTGATTTTAGTCTCGTTGTGTCAAGAATCTTGTTCGACTTGTCCTGTCTGTTCACTAACTTTTACGCTGAATGTCGCTAAGTAGCTTGAATTATTGTGCCTATTGATTATGTCTTCATTTTTAGTTAGTTTTCCACCCGGCCCGCCAAAACAACGAGATTATTTTACTCATGAAAACAGCTGTGAATACAAGTTGTGTCGACATTCATATAGAAAGGCAGTTTTTTAGTGCACAGTGTTACAACTAAAGGAAGAAAACAGGCAGTGGCTCATTTATATGTGTCATATACCAATTATATGCTATGTAAGACTTAGGCCACTTTCGTCTCTTTATCATTGTCTGGAATGGCTCAGGTCAGGAATGATTAGCTCATAGTTTTCTCACAAACCAGCCAAAGCCTAATAAATGTTGGCTGGTGCCCATTAAAGGTGCATGTCACCCATTTTAGGAGTCCACCCTCTTCCTGTGTGAACATGCACTGCTCTGTTTGTGATGAAATGAAATAAAAATGCAGATGACTGTGCAGCTGTGCAAAGTAGGACATGTATTTTTCTAGTTTTAAGGTAAGATTCTAGTGTTGCTAACAGGTTTGAACGCAAAAATATCCAAAATCAAAGCCTGACTTGTACACAAGAGAAAATGCAAAGAAAAATAACGTGCCAATAGAGTCATTGACCCATTTACTGTGAATGGGACTGTGCCAATTTTAAATTCATAACTCCACCGGGTTTTAAATTTAGAAGAGGTTGACACTAGCAGACCTGTGCACAGGAATCAAACGTGAATTCCTAAAACGACTTTCAATACTCTTTAAGTTTGTTACTTCTCTTAACCACTTCCATTTTGGAAGCAACTTTCTTCCAAAAGGTCTTTTTCGGTTCTTTAAAATACCTGATTGTTTGCTACGTTGAAGCTGCATCGTCTCAGAAATATATGAAGACAAACTTGTGTGTTAGACGTTCCTGGACAGCCTCTGGATGTCTGCACGGAGGCTCCTCAAAGCTAATACTGATGGTAGAGTTATTCCACTCTGTGCTGTTTTTCTACTGAACTTCTAGATGGATTCTCTCGTTTTCTGCTGTTTGTCTCAGTCTCACATGCATGCCATCTGCGCTTTATTAAGTGTGTGTGTGTGTGTGTGTGTGTGTGCAAGAGACTGTCCTGCCAGTTCATTTGTGTCTGATGGTGGACACTGGTTGAGTTTATGAGAAGTGCAAACACTCACTTCTGCGTGCACATGCTATTCCAAAATTAGAGGCTTTGTGGGTGAATAAATGACTTAAGTTTGTGTGTGTGTTTGTTTCCGTGACACAGCAGGGTAGTTAGTCAGAGGCCGGAAAGGCCTGAAGAAAGAAGGAAAGAAAGAAAGAAAGCGTGACGAAGCTGAAGAAAGAAGAGAAAATGGCAAAACAGAGAAGGGGACAAAAAGGAGAGAACACAATTATGTGATGAAAGAGGAGGTGAAATGAAAAAAAGCAGGGAGGTGAGATGAGAGAGGAGGAGAGATGAAAGACATGAAAGAGAAGTGTTGTGAAGAAGAGGATGGATTTAACTGAGTTCTCTGGGTTCTGCCTGTAGCTGCAACTAATGCAAGTCAGATGTTTATTCTTGGATGGTCTGTCTGACCCAGATACAAAGACAGATAGGTAGGTATCAATGCTAACTTGTTAATTACATTGAAGAGAGGAATCATTATGTCTTCGTTTCACGATTCCTCTCTAGAACTTGCTCACCAATTAATGCAGCTGATCTTCTTTTTTCATGTTCAATTACAGTAATGGTAACTTGGTTTTTCCTGTCTGTGATTCTGATGAAAAAAGTGGTTTACTGCACCAGTGACCAAAACCTAACATCGGCGGTGTGGGTGTGGGTGTGGGTGTGTGTGTGATGCATATGCGTGTCTGCGTGTGCCTACCGGTGTGTCGACACACATCTGGAGGAAACTGCGGGAAAAGAGATTTGTGTATGTGGGTGTGTTGTGTGTGACGCTTTGAATAAGACCCACGATTCTGCTGGTTTTTATTAAGCTGATGTTATACTTCACTAGTTATATTGCTCAAGTTCTGCTTTTGTCATTTGGTAAACTCTGACTCAGATGAGATCAGCATCTGGTTTGGGGATCTTTTTTGAGTCATGGTCGAAATATGAAATCAATGAACCATCACCACAGCTCCTTTTGCCACTGTCATCATCAATATTGTCCAATTTTACCAGTGGTTCACTGTAATTATAGTAAGGGTGGGTGATACATATACAATCTTCTATCACAGTATATGTAATGTATATCATGATATAGTAAATTATCATTTGAGGAACGCTTTATAAATGAAATAACGGAGCAGATTGTCTGTTTTTGAATAATCAAGTGAATTAAATACTTGAATAAACAAGATATTAGATTTGCAATGTGACCTGCCATTACCTAATATAACCAGAGATATTGCTGAGATAGCTACTTCAGTGCAAATGGTATAGAAAACGTGTAGACAAATGTATATGATAATGATCTCATCTCATCTAAATGCACTTGTTGTGTGTGTTTCTGGCAGTGTGTGTGATGGCAGAGCTCCCGTCCGGACTGCTGGAGGCATGTGTAGTGGTTGGAGCCCCCAGTGATAAGCTTCGAGACGTATACCAGGTATGCATATGTATATATATATATATGTGTATATATACAAAAAGACAGCAGCAAAACCATGTCACACAAAGCAAATGCAATCAAACACAAGCATTTACACCATGCATGCTTCTAAACTCCAACTTCATTCAGTTACATCTGATTAGAGCTGCACGATATGGTAAAAACATCATACTGCGATTGTTTTTGACAGTTTTTGTGATTTCGATATGATTCACGAGGGTCATTGTTGCATCACAAAGTTAATTTTTACTAAAAAAACTATTAAAATCATGATGATTTGAAACTTTTGTAGGTCTGTCTTAAATCTGGAGAACAAGATAGGTAGGCCAGGGTATCTCTTCAGAACTCCAGTACTTCAATATAATACTGTTTTGTCACACATTTTACCGTTTATTGAAATAATTGCAGCTTCTGCGATTTGCATATGGTCATATTTCGACTAATTGTGCAGCTCTGAAACATTTCTGAGCCATGTGAATCACCGAATCTTTCCTTGTGCTTCAGCTCGTCTGTATTTGAGTCAGTACTTTTGCACCTGAACGGTTAATCTCCTCAGCATGAACAAACAGCAAGAGCATATTAATGACAGGTGCACATGGTATCTAACAGATAACACACACTCTTTGATATAGGTAATAATGGCATGCCATGAAGAAACTATTAAGAGATACAGTAAATACCTGATTAAGGTCAAATATAGTTTGACCTTATGGTATGGTGTACAACAGGAGACCTCATTACAGATCTGATTGGTCAGCTGCATTTAAAATGTTGTTATCAAAGCAATCTTTGTTCTTTTCTGCCTTTTTTGAATTGCAAAAAATATATTTTAAATGTGTTTATTTGAAAATAGCAACATTGTCTTTAAATACAGTCGTGGTTCGAACATACAAAACAGTTTCTTCGTCTTTTACTCACCTATTCATTCCTCACATCTTCATATTCACTCACACCTTTATCTGCAGAAACTGAATTGGTGGTAGCTTACAAAGTAATTATAAAGACATTAGAATAGATTTTACATTAGGCACTAACCCTAAATATTTCCAAATTATGCCATAGCTCCATCAGCAGGCTAAGTTAAACGAACTCCTCCCGCTGGAAGCTGAGGTACTACAGGTCCATGCCCCGCCCTTTGTTTCCAAGGAGACAAACTCCAGCCAGTCGATTGGTCCAGCTTTCAGTCGTGTCCAGAGGAGGAGGAGCTTCATCAAGAAGGTAAACAACCATTATTTAATGCGAAACGCTAAATACAACTTCATACGTTAATGGACAATATGACACCGTTCTAGTTTTTGGAAAAATGGCGTCCTTTTAGAGAACATTTAGGCATCTTTGTGCATCACATTCAGAAATAAAATCCATATTTGTTGTTCGTTTGCAGAAGAGGCGAGATCGGGCTGCAGAGGCGTTGCCTAATGGAGAAACAGGCAATCGTAGTGAAGTGGCCTCAGCAACAGAGGACATCAGTGTTCCAAAGGATCTGGACCTCATCGCCCTGCCGCAGCTGTGTTTCCCTGGTACAGTGTGTGATGAACGTAACATTACTGTGTACTGAATTGAATAACACACATCTACTTCTTCTGTTAATAGTTACCTCGCTGAGACCAACATGTTTTTTCGGCAGTACTTTTGCATCACTTGCTTCTTTGACATTACACGATCAAAAGCTGATAGCTATTGATCTAACGATATAATGTGATTGATGTTGCTGCTCTGTGGTTACCATTGTGGATCACCATCTTGGCAGTCTGGACCCAGAACAACGAAGGCCCAAGATCATAATCTTCATTCTTTATCTTGCTATGCTGGCTCACTAGCTACCGCCATTGAACACTATCTTGCGCCACAATGTAAGATTACGCATTGCCTTTTATTATAACGACAACATAGTCGTTTCCATGGTTACGACTTTTCCATTTTTATGTAAATAACACTGCAAAACCTGTTTCAACACCTCTCATTGTCACACGAGTCCTGAAATCAGGCCTGTTTTATGTTTCAAGTGGTGCATCTCACATTATCATCCACCTAATCAGAGACATTGAGGAGAGGTATTTGCTGAGCTCCACCCCTCTCACTCTTGCAAAGAACAGAGTGGTGTGTTGCTGTGTTGGGCCATTGACATTTATGTTGTGTGTAATTAAGTATGTAATGCTGCGTTCCTCTCATTTAGATTCCCATGTGAACCACTTGTGAGATTTCAAGTATGATTTCAGAGTTGGCACATGGCACACAGCTTAACTTTGCATCGTGCCCCATCTTTTGACTTCTTGGTTTCCATTGACTAGGTGGCCTCCAGTTAGCCAATGAGCCGAGAGAAGACACTTATCACTTCCTGGTTTTCACCGACCTTTTTGGGAACCGAACCCATGGAGTTGTTGTGCAGTACTACAGAGCTGTACAGGTACAAACACACACCCTCTCACATAAACAGAAAGAAAACATATGATTGAATCCAATGATTGCAGACAGTTTTTTTCTCACTCGCTGTCCGCCCTCTCAGTCCTGTCAGGAAGGTGCTCTCCAGAATGGCCACAGGTGGAATGCATCAAAGTGCCGTCTCTATACACCCTTTGCTGTGTGTGTCATCTCCAAGTTCCCCTACTATAATGCTCTGAGAGACTGCTTGTCATGGTAATACGTCCAATTAATTATAGAACTGATAATCGGTTAAGGTTATTTGATGACAAGTTAAACCCTTTCTCTGTTATCTCCCACCGCTGACTCCACCTTCTCAGCCTCCTGGTCCAGTTGCGGCCTGCAAGACAAGCTGACTTTGAGGAGACAATAAAGGAATTTTCAGCCAAGCTGTCCCTGGTACCTTTACCACCTCCTGGACAACTACATGTGGTCAGTCTGTCTCAGTTGATTTATCTATTAGGTTTTCTCTCACATTCATTCACTCATTCGGCCTGTATTTATCTCGCTGTGTGACCAATTTCAGTTACTAAATCTTTACTCTAATGAATGAATGTGTGTGTGTGTGTATATGTGTTTCTGTTTGTTAGTCCTTCAGCCTACGTCCCCTCCATGTGGTTCTTCCATCGAAGCAGGATCAGGAAAGCCCTGTTATTGACATCGACCTGCATCTACCTTTCCTCTGTTTCACGCACACAACACTGCTCCAGGTAATGCAGCACACAGATACTGGTGTTTTATGGCATATAAACTGGAGTAAAATATATTTATGTAGTCATACAAAGGTACTTTTTCTGAGTTGTATTTAATTTTGGTGTTCAGTTAAAAATATGAGGCTCTACTCTCTGTAGGTGCTGTCCTGTGTCCTTCAAGAGCAGAGGCTGGTATTCTTCTCTGCTGACTGGGCCAGACTCACTCTGGTTGCAGAGAGTTTGCTGTTGTACCTGCAGGTCAGTGAAGGAGGAGAATTGTGTCTTACAACTGCAGTAATTTATAATTTTAGAAATATTCCCTTATCCGTCTTTTCACGTGTCTTCTGGTCTTCTGCCGTCTCCTCCAGCCTCTGTCCTGGCAGCATCCCTATGTTCCTGTCTTGTCTAGAGGAATGCTGGACTTTCTCATGGCTCCTACAGCCTTCTTGATGGGCTGTCACATCAGTCATTTTGAAGAGGTTGCTGCAGTAAGTACAACCATTCTCCGCTCATGGTCAAGCTGCAGACGTTGTTTCTTATCAAGATCGAGGATTAAAGTTTTGGCTTTCTTGCTATCGACATATCTGACCTTTTCTTGCCTAACATGATGGGAGCAATATTGGATGTTTGGGGATTTTGGCTTCAAGTTAATATCCAAACTGTTATTACTCCCTATACGAGGGAGGAACTATCATGATTATGAATGAATCTTGTGTTTATTGGACCGAAATGATGCTTTTACAGGCAATAGTCAGAACCAGCTGAATTACTAGATAAACAAAGATTGCTTCAACTCTGTCCATTTCCCAGAGAGCCCAAGGCTCTTGGCCATTTACCTAACCAGATTTATTATAAGTTCTGTTTGTTGCTAGTGTGTGTGTAATTCAAATGACCTCTCTTTTTGTAATTGTCTTGGCTGACATACTCACATACAGTAGTTAACAGTAACTGTTTATTCTCCACTCAGTGTCTTACAGGACCTTAGTTCACATATTTAACAGTAGCTGTCTGTTGGTCTAACAGAGCAACTGTGTTCTGATGAATTGGACCCATTGTACCTACAATACGTGTGTGTGTGTGTGTGTTTATCTTTGTCTATAGGAGACAGAAGAACTAATCCTGGTGAATATTGATGATGGCATCATTCAGTCGTCATGGTCTGAAACCCTTGACCTACCAGCTATCCCTCTGGCTGCTGCGGAGAGCTTTATGTCAAGGTAACACACACACACACTCTCACACTCTCACACACACACACACACACATACACACACCAATATAAAAGTAAACTGTTGATTGTATGTTCTGTTGATTTTTTTATTTGTTTGTTTGTTTTACTTGAGTCACACTGTGTAAAATAAAACTATACACTACATTTGTGCCCAGAAACACTATTTAACTATGTGTCACCATTCATTAATGTTAACTAGAAATCACTTTAATCTACCTCTGAAATAAAATTACACTGCTAAATAAAATTACAAAGGGAACACCATTTAAATGTCTGAATTAAATAAAGGTCTTGGTGTCTGTGTGTGCAGGGCAGAGTCTCTCCAGCTTTACTATGACTTGGAGATGTGTCACCTTGGAGCGGGCACTGACGCTAATGCCCTGCGATGCCAACGCAGAGACTGGCAGACACGCCTCAACACACAGATACAAAACATCACTCTGGAACTAGTGGTCAACATCTTCAGGTAAATACACATAGAGATTCTAGGAAATACAGTGGTTAGTGTATAAGTTTGTGTTCAACACATTCAGATATATTAGACTAATTTGAGTCCAAATGAAACAGTTTATGTTTTGTCTAACTGTTCCTGTGTCTACACCAGAGGCGTCCAGGACTTTCTAAACCATGAACACCGAGTTTTTAACAGTGAGGAGTTTCTGAGGACCAGGGAGCCAGCAGACCAGTCCTTTTACAAGAAGGTACACTCACACATTTACATACACACACACATTTACATACACACACACATTAGCATACACATAGAGCACTCTTGACAGTCTTTGTTACATGTTGGTCTTTGTTGTTGTCCCCAGGTGTTAGACACTCATATCTTCCACTCATTCCTGCGAGACAGGCTGAACAGGAAACGGGACACCTTCAGCCACATGGACCAGAACACACGTAACCATGCACAGAGGTATGATGCCGGTGCGTCACAACTAAGGGGCAGCTGTAACCAGGCAACAGTGAAAAGTGCAAGCTAAGTAAAATAGTAGTAGTCAAACAATTTCTGTAACTAAAAATCCTTTCTCTAGCTATCTTTTTTCACTCGTCTGTTTCTGTCAGTTGTAGTGTGAACAACCAAGTGCAATGGTACACGGCTGCCCAACCAAGAAATGAATCAATTGTTTGCAGATTATTGGTTAATGAAAATATTCATTAACTGAAGCTCTGAAATCAGGAAAAACACAGCATTGATTCAGTTTTTAAACATTTCCGTTTGTGTGTGTGTTGCCAGGCTGAGGAAAATGAATAATAAGGAAACACTTTATTTGCTTATCGAAAAAGAAGGAACCTTCAGGTGATAAAGACACCATGTAGTCAGTGACTGGAATGGGTAATGTCCCCACAGCTATAAACATGAATCATCCGGGTTTATTGCTCAGATCGCACCCCCCATAGATACAAATGAGATTGTCTCCCCCTTGTCAGCACGACCTCAAAATGTGCCTTCTTGTGTCCCTCTCCAGGAATCGTGCCGTGACAGAGTCTCCTCGGCGTCCCCCCATGTCTGAACTGTCCAGGACTGGCTACACCAACTACACCAGCCCACACAACAGACTGAGCAAGAGGCTTGGAGCCAGCCTGCCTAACCTGGAGCAACCTGCCAATGACACCGTTTCTACCATCACCTCCAACAGACCAGCCTCCTTCAGGAAGATGACTCCTGATATCGGTGAGTGCTGATGAAGGAAAGGGATTAATGGAGACTGGGATGATCTAAGGAAATCAATGAAGAGTTGAACTGTTTTTAATTGTCTCTGTCTCCTTCCAGGGTTGAAGTTTCCTCAGAAAGCAGTGAAGGTTTTCCGCCTCCCAGAATTCCCCCCTCCGTTGGCTTATCATTATGTCCAGAACTATTACTCTGACATGGTTGCTTCCCTGGGAAGAGCTATTAACGCTACAGCACCTGATGAGTCTGCTCTGCTGGCCAGGTACTGTGAGGCAAAGAAACTGAAAGAGAACGTA